TCGGTTCTCTTGGTCAGGGCAGCTCAGTATTTTTGTCTGAGGAGGCTTGGACCAGAACACACGCACAGTAGTGTCAAGCAAGTCACAACTCGCCCTCGTTCGTTTCCGTGACGGTGTCAGGAGCCATCGCTGTGCCCCTGGTCACAGTCCTGCCTTGTGGGCAGTTGCGTCCTGGGAACACGGGAGCCTGGCCAGTGGACAGGCCGCCCTGAGCACCTTCGCTGGCCCGGCTGGGAGGTCAGCCAGGCTGTCACGCGCGCAGACGTGTCAGGCGGGAAGGTTGGAAGGGAAGTGATTCTGACAAGCACTGCCCTCCCCCGGGGCCTGCGAGGAGCAGAGGCTGCTGAGCCCCAGGGATGAACTGTGCTCTGATGCGAACCTCTCAGCGCAGGTCACCTCCCAGCAGAGCCCCGTCACCCCCCCCCCCCCCCGGCTCCCTATGCCCCCAGGAAGCCAAGGAAGCAGCTCATCTTGCTCCTCGGGGGCGGGGGCGACACAACTCAGTGGTCATCTCTCGGAGACCAGGCGCCGGTGTGTCCTGTGCAGGCGGAGCTGGCCGGGCCCTTTCCTGGGAGGGAGCCTTGTGGTGGGAGGACCATCAGGGCCTGGAGATGTCGCGGGGGCGTCCTGTTGTGATTTCAGGGTGCTCGGGGAGGGTCTCCGCACCAACCAGCAGTGCGGGGTGACGGTGTGAGCCAGCGATGCCCGCCGCCGGCTCGGGCCCTGGTCCAGCATCCGCCAGGCAATTGGCAGCTGAGGCGCCCTGAAGGGAGACACCCAGCTCCGGCCTCAGATGGTGTCCAGACGGCGCCCAGGAAGCCGCTCTATCGCTGGGCCATCTCAGCCCGAACCCCGGAGCCCGGCCAGCTTTGGGCAAAGGAGATGGACTCACGCCTTTGACTGTCTTCCCCACGCCCTGCCTGAGCTGTTGCTGCCATCTCAGATGGAGGATGCCCAGAGGAGGAGCGGCTGTTCTCCGTGTGTGTGCGCGCGCATGTGTGTGCGCGCACATGTGTGTGCGTGCACATGTGTGTGTGTCTGTGCGTGTCTGTGTGTCTGTTTGTGTGTGTCTGTGCGTGTCTCTGTGTGTCTGTGTCTGTGTGTGTGTGTCTGTGTCTGTGTGTGTCTGTGTCTGTGTCTGTGTGTGTCTCTGTGTGTGTCTGTGTGTGTCTGTGCGTGTCTCTGTGTGTGTCTGTGTGTGTGTGTGTCTGTGTCTGTGTCTGTGTGTGACTGTGTCTGTGTGTGTCTGTGTGTGTGTGTGTCTGTGTGTGTGTGTGTGTGTGTGTGTGTGTTAGGAAGAGGTGTGCATATCAGATGCCATGTCCTGTTTGTTTCTGTTTTGCCGCAGTCCCCACTGCTCTCTATTACAGCACCGAGTTCACTGTCCCATCGTATTTGCTGAGTCCCTGAAAGAACTTGACTTTGTGACCCCCCGAGAGATCCCAGCCTCGTAGGCCACCCTCACACCCCTCGTTTAAAAGCCTACTCTTTGGAAGACATTTAATTTTGGTTATTTACCTTTTCGGTGAAAACCAAGCCCTTTTCTTTCTCCCAAGTATTGCTTATCTCTAATGACCCTTTATTCTAAATCTAAAACAAACGGGTTTAGATCTTCCCACTTGTTTAACATGTGGAGTTTGTCTCCCCCAAACCCCCACCTGCCCCCCAGTCTCCTCCAGATAAGTGTGCCCTGTTGACATCGCATCCCTTCTGTTGGGGAATTAGCTTAGGGATCTATGAGTGAGAACAGCATCTATTAAAGTAACTCCGCCAAGACCTCACCATGGCCCGGCTTCCCAGGGGGAGGGGGAGGGGAGAAGACGCCCCTTCCTGCTTGGGGCCAGTGTCCAGGTGGAGCTGAGCCCGGCTGAGTGCTGCCTGTGGCCCCTGGGTACTCCCCAAACTCCTCCCCTCTGTCCTACTCTGTGTGCCTCAGGCCAGGGTGGGGGCGGAGGGCACACATCTGATTCTACGGCAAAAATACGGGTGCAGGTGGCGTCTCAGTCAGCGCAAGCTGCCCTAACAGCCAGAGGAGAGGCCCAAACCACAGACATTTACCTTCGCCTCTGCGGGGATCAAGGTGCCGGCCGGTGGGGTTCTGAGAGGACCCCTTCCCTTGTGTCTGGGTCTCCCCATGGTGGAGAGAAAGCAGAGAGATCTGCAGCCGCTTCCTCTTCCTACGAGGGCGCGATCCCAGCCGGAGGCCCACCCTCATGGCCTCACCTGCCTCTGATTGTCTCTGATGCTCTCCCCTAGGCCCCACCTGTAAATGCCTTGCCATTGGGGGCTGGGCTCCAACCACGGACTCGGCGGCAGCAGGCCGAGCGCTTGGCTGCCCGTGGTCTGGCTGCTCCCTCAGCACCTGTGTCCACAGGAACTGACCAGGCCTGGAGCCCCGCCCTGGGGAGCCCTCCTCATGCCCTTCACAGCTGTTGGCCAGCACGCTTGCCTCACCCCTGCTCACCCCTCCTCAGTGAGCCCCTGCCCGAGATTAGTCACAGGAGGCCTCGTGAGTTATTGGGGGGGTCTTGCGGAGAGAGCCGTGGGCCTGACAGCTACCTGCGCCTCTGCCAGTGCTGGGGGACTTGTCCCCTTCCTGGGCCTGGGAGCTGACAGCTTCTGGGACAGTTCTTAATTAAGTCCCTTTGTGTGCAAATCCGTTCGCTGACAGGATGAAAAGACAAAGAGAACCACAGGAAAGTCTTGCAAGAGAGCAGGCGCTGCTGGTGCCAGGCTGGGGGGCGGCTGCTTGGGAGTCAGCCCTCCGTGGAGGAGGGGATTGAGGGGCACAGGGTCCGGGCCTGTGCTAGCCCAGGTGAGGGAGGAGGATGACACAGCACTGGGAGCCCAGGACGCAGGCCACGGGGTGGGGAGGCAGGCGGCGGGGTTGGGGGGAGGAGGGGGAAGGCAGGCCGTGGGGTAGGGAGGGAGGCCGCGGGGTGGGGAGGGAGGCTGCGGGGTGGGGAGGCAGGCGCAGTGTCTCCTGTCCCTGCGGACCCGCTGGGTTTGGAGATGGAGCTTGGAGATGCCGCGGGCTGGTTTGATGAGACAGTTTGAGGTCAGGAACCTGAGCCGGGCTGGGAGATGCAGTCTGAGGCGCCTGTTGAAAGGAAGCGTGACCTGCATACACCCTCCAGGCTCCCGGGCGAGGGAGGGGCGGGCAGTGGGGCCGGGACAGACCTGAGATGGTACCTGAGTGGCCAGAGGGCTGCGCAGACCCGGTTCGGCGGCCGCCCCGACCTGCCCGGTGGACTCCTGGCCGTTCCAGCCTGTGGGTGTTTTTTCGCTCTGGAGGGAGCAGAGCGGACCCATCCCCGGCGCCTCCCGGCCCCCAGGCCACCGTCCAGGTGATCAGAGCCCAGGTGTGACCAGAAGGGGTCCTGGGACTTCCTGCTGCACCTGCTCTGGGCGCTGGCACCTGCGGGGAGACGGGCTCCAGCTGCAAAGGGCACGTTCGCCCTCTGGTGACCAAACGGTGACATGACGCCGGCTGCCAGGCCCGCGCTGGGCGGGTGAAGGGCTGGGCCTGGTGCCTCTGGAAACTGGTTTCTCAGCTGGGGTCCCGGGGCTCGCCTCGCGTGGGGGTGAATGTGGACACGGCCCTCAGATGCAGCCGCCGCTGTCTTCAGGGTCAGGCCCCATTCGGGGGGAGCCTTCGTCCTCCGCGATTTCACTCTGGGCTCCCCTGGGGGCCTCAGGCCTCCAACCTGCACCTGAGGCCTGGGTGTCAGCCGTGCCGCGGGGCTCCCTACAGGGCACAGGCCTGGCCGGCGGGACTGCCCGGGAGGGAGTTTAATGTTCATTTACCTCCCTGAGTGCAAACATGGGCCTCCTGGGGATGGCCCCCGGCAACACAACCTCTGCTCCCACAGAGCCAGGCCCTCTGAGGTCGGAGTCAGCATCCCCATCCGCCTGGGGACCGCGGGGGAGGCCGCTGTGTGCGCTTCTCCCACCGGGTGCGGCGGCGCCCCGGGCCTGGAACCCCAGTCAGCCCGGCCCCCAGCAAACAGCCGTCTCCGCGGCCTCACCCACAGCCCGTGGCAGCTCTGCTTCTGGGGGCCGGTCCCCACGGGCCGGTTCTCCTGCATCCTGGGTGGGCGGACAGATGGACAGGTGGGGTGCAGTGGCCCCTAGGAAAGGTGCCTCCCGCCCGCTGTGCCCGCCCAGCCGCCCTTCCAGGCACAGCCCTGAGGCTGAGGGAGGGACCCAGACGGGAGTGGGGCTGAGGCTGCGCTGCACAGAGAAGGGCAGGGTCCCACGGAGGCCTCGGAGCGGGCAGGGCCCATGCACTGGACGCCAGGAGCCGCCCTCGGGCTCAGCCTCCGGGCAGTGAGCACACGCCCCTCAGTGGGAGTTGGGAGCCCGCAGGCTCCGGGGGGGGGGGGGGGGGACTGCTCAGGCAGCTCCTGACTCAGTTTCCCTCCCGCCTCGGTGCCCCCCCCCCCACTGTCTTCCTCGGGCGCTCGCCGGGGTGCTGTGGGCTGGGTGGGGGCACAGGGGCCGGGGGAAGGGGCTTGTCCTGTCCGCATGCTGAGTGGCAGGAGCTCCGTGGGCCGCAGCCTTTGTGCGATGTTTGCCCAAACCACAGTGTGTCCGCCAGAGTCTGATGGGCTGACTGCTGGGAGCTGAGAGGGGAGAGACCCGGGGTCCCCCAACCCCGGGCCTGTGCCCCCTGAAAACCACGTGCCTAGGACACGGGCTGTCTTCCCAGCGTCTGCGGGAGAGGGCAGGCGTGTGGGGAGGGGCGGGGGGAGAGGGCAGGCGTGTGGGGAGGGGCGGGGGGAGAGGCAGGCGTGTGGGGGTAGGGGGGACGAGGGGCAGAGACACAGGCATGTGTGGAGGGTGGGGGTGGGGGAACAGGAGGGTACGGGGGGTGGGGGGCGGGGGGAGAGGGTAGGTGCATGTGGGGGGGTGGGGGGGGGCAGAGACACAGGCCTGTGGCGGGGGGAGACAGGTGCGTGCGGGAAGGACGGACGCCCTGACTGTGGCTTGTGTTGCAGGTGTCCCCGTGCGAGCGCTGCCGCTGCGAGGCCAGTGGGGAGGTGCTGTGCTCCGTGTCCGCGTGTCCCCAGACCGAGTGCGTGGACCCCGTGTACGAGCCTGACCAGTGCTGCCCCATCTGCAAAAACGGTAGGTGGTGTGTGCGTCCACCGCGGGGTGCACATCAGCGGGGTACACCTCTGTGCGCCCCGCCACCCAGAGTTCCCTCGTATTTCCTGGCGTGAAAGGTGTGGATGCGGGAGGGGCCAGGTGTCCACACAGCAGGTGCACATCTCTGTGACCTCCAGGCCCCGGGCCGCCGGGAGCTGCCCAGTAGGAGGTAGGAGTTCTCTGGTGTTGTCCTTATTGTTTATTTTAAATATATTTTATTGATTTTTTACAGAGAGGAAGGGAGAGGGATAGAGAGTTAGAAACATCGATGAGAGAGAAACATCGATCAGCCGCCTCCTGCACACCCCCCACTGGGGATGTGCCCGCAACCAAGGTACAAGCCCTTGACCGGAATTGAACCTGGGACCCTTCAGTCCGCAGGCCGATGCTCTATCCACTGAGCCAAACCGGTCAGGGCTCCTTGTTGTTTTTTAAATATATTTTTATTGATTTCAGAGAGGAAGGGAGAGGGAGAGAGAGGAACATCCATGATGAGAGTCACTGATCGGCTGCTTCCTGCAGGCCCCCACGGGGACGGAGCCCACACCCAGGCCTCTGCCCCGACCCGAATGGAACCGTGACCTCCTGGTTCCCAGGTCGGTGCCCAACCACGGAGCTTTGGCTTCCAGCCCGCTCACCTTGAACGGGTAAACAGTTTGGAATTCTTGGTACAATTTTTGCTTGAAAAGTGAAGACAGTTTCTATGAGAACAGAGCGCTCTGCAGGGATTGAGTGGGACTGGTGACTAATTCGCCGCCGCTGTCCATGCCGCTCTCACACAGAGCGCCCCCACACAGAGCGCCCCCACAAAACACAATTACACGCCGGCAGCTCACAGGTTACGGGACATCAACAACAGCGCCTTCCGTGACAGTAAATGCTCAGGCAGACGTGGCTGAGGGGACTAGGGCGGTCGGGGCTGGTGACCACCGTGGAGGCCGGCCTCTGCCCTTGCTCCGACGCCCTGACCCGCAGCGTTAAACAGCTCTTCCCCCGACGGAGGGGAATCGCCGCTCCCTCGCAGCTGCCAGAGTTGCTTCCTCAGAGCAGCAAACATCTGGGGCCAAGAAAGCCTGGAACATAAATAAATGATCACTAAGCAAATGCGACTTTGCTCACCCCCGAAGATGTGAACAGGGGTGTCAGGCTGACCTTCGAGGTTCCCGGTCTCTCTGGTGATGGGTGCGTGCAGAGGTGAGGTCCCAGGCCCGTCCCACCTGACCCCTCCGTCCGGGCTGCCCTGTGGACGTGGGTGATCAGAGGTCCCAGGTCTGCACGCGGGCGCCCCCCGCTCCTGCACGTAGAGGGGACCCACGGGGCCTGCGGGCCTGGCTCCGACTCTCCAAGGGGAACAGCACCCCCAGGAGGGCACCGGTGACAAGGATGGATGGTCCCTCAGCCTCGCTGCCGCTGGGTGGCGGTTATCCACAGCTTTACTTCCACCAGGAAACCCAGGTGGCTGGTTTGGGAAGAAAATGAAAACGTATGTAACATTTTTAAGACAAATGCTGAGAACTCAGATTATTAGAAGCAAGTTCATGGGGAATATGTGAGACACACGGCTAAGAATTAGAGTGTGTGTTTTCCCTCCTGTGTATTTCAAAGAAGAGGATAAGATCACAATTTAACCACACATGGTGAGCTGGACAGAACTGCATGGTGTGTGTCTATGTGTGCCTAAGATCTGTGCATGTGTGTGCACATGTATGTGCATGTGTTCATGTGTGTCTCTGTGTGTGCACATGTGTGTCTGTGCATGTGTGTGAGTCATATGAAGATCCTTCTCACCAAGAAAGGCTGGTTCCTATATGGCCTCATGTCAAATCTTTCCAAAATTAAGAGCCGCTGTTCATCACACAACGGTGTTGAGCTGGTGCAAAGCAGCCAGCCCACATATTTGGAAAAACATACATGCAAGGCATGTATCTGGCAAATGACTCCACAGTCCCAACACGCCAGAACCGAGTGGAGAGATAAAGACAGAACTACAAAGCGGAGTCCCCGCTCTCTTTGGACCCATGTCCTCCTGGCCTGCTGCTCAGGGGGACACGTTCCAACTGAGTTTCAGGTCCTGGGGCCGCCCGCCCCCTCTCCCCCCACGACTGTAAGCTCTGTGGCCGGGCTGCTCCCGGGACAAAGACGCCGCAGACGCCGCAGGAAAACGGGGGCTCCCATGAGTGGGATAGAAGGGTGCTGACTGCAGTGGCTGTGAGGCGTCAGAGGAGCGTGGAGGAGGGACCGGACAGCATGCTGAGTGCCTTGTGTCTGAGCAGGACTGGGGGCGACCTAACCCAACGGGCTCTGTGGCTGTTCTGTTGAATGTTTGGTCTCTTTGCTGATTTTCGGGGCAGAGTCTGTGTGTGGTGTCTGCGTGTGTGTGTGCACGCATGTGGGCTGGCATGTGGGCACACGTGTGGGCTGACATACTGCTGTTATAAGAGGAGGCGCTTGGTACTGACTTCACTGCAGGTGCAAAGGTGAATCGGGTGCGTGGCCCCTGCCCCAGAAGCTCACCGACTGCGGCCCTGCAAACAGCGGTGTCTGTGCTTCACTGAAGGAAGAGGACAGGGCGGGGGACCCCAGTAACATCGTGGTGAACACGCGTGGGTGGGGCCGCTGTTGGCCCTGGAATGACTTCATTGGGATGAACCCAGCAGTGACGCGATTGGGTCAAAGGCGGGACCTTTTTCTGATTCTGATCCGTAGAACCTGCTGTGCCACCAGGGCGCCACTCACAGCGTCCGGTGTGACGACGCACTCGCTGCCCTTTGTGAGTCGGTGCGGAGCGGCGCTCGGGGCCAGTGTGACACAGCAGCCGTCTCCGGCGCTGTTCTGCGTGCACAGGCTCAGTGCCCTTAACAGAGCGCACACGCTCTTGGTGTCTGAGAGCCCCTGGGGCAGGAAGAGCTATCGCACGCCCTGGGGGACCAGGAGGCCTTGGGGTGGCCTGCCCTGAACCCATCACTTTCTCAGCACCCCCAGGGTGGGCGTCGGGGTGCAGACTGGCTCCCTGGCTGTGCCCGCTGCAGCCTGGCTTTTACTCACAGCGATTGACGCTGGCGAGCATTCTGGCCGCCTCCAGCTCGCCCGTCACGCTGCCCACCGGGTGCGCCTCCTCGCCCACTGCAGGCGCGTCGCCTCCGGATCTGGCCCAGCTGGGCCCCGGCCCCTCCGCTCTCCAAGGATTCACATGTTAACCAACGGCACCAGGCCCAGCGCCACGCCCCGCGTGTCTGGCTCCTTCTCCGGCTGCTGGAATGAGCATCTCCCCAGACTCCCGTGCTAACTGCAGGCCGCGCCTCGCCCCACCGCCGGTCACAGCTGCCTCGGGGAGATGACTCCTGGTTAACTGTTCTCGTCCCGCTGCTGCCTGGGGTCATGTTTACAGCCCGAGGCGGCGTGCGGTCTTCTCCTGTGTCCTCGGGCTCTGAGCGTTGTTCTGGCGTCGGAAGCACGTCAGCGGAGAGTGTGGTGCGTGCAGCGGCCACTTGCTTTCCTGTGACCGCTCAGCTCGCCCTGCTGGGCCCCCTTCTCAGAACCACAGGAGGAAATCGGGGACTCCCTCTTTCTGTCCTTGCAAGTTGTAGGGTTTGGGTTTATTTTCCTTCACAATTTAAAAGACGTCTTTACTGAGTAGGATTCTCAGAACCGAGGAGCAGCTGTTAGCTTTAGAAAGGCCGCTCCGTGGGCGCCAGGGGCTGGGCGCTGCTGGAGTTCTCCGACCCCCTGCTCTCTGGGCCTCACCCCCTGTGGGATGTCCTGGGAGGTCACCTTGTCTGATCACTGGGGTTCCTGTCCATTGGCTGGTGGTAGTGTTCCCGGCTGGCGTTATTCCCGCCTTCCGGAAAGTGTGTGCAGCCCCGTCCCCAGGAGGCGCTGTCTGTCACGCCCGATACAGTGACGTGCGCCTGTCACGTCCTCAGGGAATACACTCTCCTCATCTGCTGGAAGCTGCTCTGGCTCTGGGGAGGTGCCCCGCGGCCTGCTGCCCTGTGGCTCCCACAGCTTGATCGTCTTCGGGGTGACGGTGTTTTCACTCTGACTGCTCTTTGGAATTGTCACCATGGACTTCAGTGTGGATTTTCTTTCATTGAAATGTTACCCTTTGCTTTTGGAATGTTGATATTTTATTTATTTATTTTTATATTTTCATTGATTTCAGAGAGGAAGGGAGAGGGAGAGAGAGAAACATCAGTGATGACAGAGAATCATGGATCAGCTGCTTCCCACGCACCCCCTACTAGGGATCAGGCCCATAAGCCACAGCCCACAACCCGGGCTTGTGCCCTGACCCGGAACCTAACGGTGACCTCCTGGTCCACAGGCTGATGCTCAGCCACCAGCCACGCTGGCTGGGCTGCAGTGTTGATAGTTTACATGTTCAGTTTTTTCAGTGGCAGCCATCCAGAGGAGCACTCCCCCGTCTGTGCACAGGACTTCAGGGCGACACGCGAACGCTGTGTTTGTGTAACAGTCATTTCACCTGCAGGAGAGCTGCGTTTTCTGGGAGAAACGCCATCTGAGCACCACTCTCACGGGCAAAGGGCTGGGTTTGTGCTGCGCGGGCCCTCGCGGTGGAACCTATGGGGCAGATTTGGCTCAGTGTAAACAGACACCTAATGACGAGGCTGCTGTCCACTGACGGACGCTGAGGTGGCAGGACCTCCGGCTACTGGACGTGGGTGGGCACGGACGGGGGCCGAGCTTCTGCGATGGTGAACAACCCAACATCCTCTTCTGTCCACAAGATGGTCCAGCACTCATTACAGCATCCAGACGGCAAGGAAAGACTTGTTCAGAGAGAGGATCACGGGGGGCGGGATGGTGGCAGACGGGAGACGCCGTGACCAGGAGGCCTGCAGGCTTTGTCCGCTCGGCCGGTGGGCTCCTCTGAGGGACGGCGCCCAAGCAGAGGGAGCTGGGTGTGGGAAGTGGGGCGAAGGGGGCAGGATGGGGTAGGAGACCACAGGACACGTCTC